AATCTGTGATTGTACTGTTCCCCACTCCACCCCCTTGTTTCTTTTCAATAAATAATTTTTTTCTTTTCAATAAATGGATTCTTTGGGTTTGAAAACATTCTTTATTATTGCATAAAGTAAAAGACTCCTTAGCCCAGGAAATAAACAGGCACTGCAAGTCTGCTTGTCTGCTAAGCAGACACTGATTCCTAAAGATTGGAACTACTGCACTTCACTCCTGTGCAAGACACCAGATATCACTGCTGGTTTTCAGCCTCAAATTGCTCCCTCAAGGCATCCCTAATCCTTGCAGCCCCGCGCTGGGACCCTGTAATAGCCCTGCTCTCTGGCTGTGCAAATTCAGCCTCCAGGTGTTGAACCTCCGAGGTCCATGCCTGAGTGAAGCTTTCACCCTTCCCTTCACAAATATTATGGAGGGCACAGCACGCGGCTATAACCGTGGGGATGCTGCTTTCGGCCAAGTCCAGCTTCCCATACAGAGATCGCCAGCGGGCATTTAAACGGCCAAAGGCACACTCCACAGTCCTTCGGCACCGGCTCAGCCTGTAGTTGAACTGTTCCTTGCTGCTGTCAAGGCTCCCTGTGTAGGGTTTCATGAGCCACAGCATTAACGGGTAAGCAGGATCTCCAAGAATCACAATGGGCATTTCAACTTCCCCTACTGTGATCTTCCGCTCTGGGAAAAAAGTCCCCGGCCTGCATCTTCCTCAACAGCCAAGTGTTCCGAAAGATGCGTGCGTCATGCACCTTTCCAGGCCAGCCTGTGTTAATGTCAATGAAACGCCCACGGTGATCCACAAGCGCCTGGAGAACCATAGAGAAATACCCCTTCCGATTAACATACTCGGATCCTAGGTGGAGTGGTGCCAGAATAGGAATGTGCGTCCCATCTATCGCCCCTCCACAGTTAGGGAACCCCATTTGTGCAAAGCCATCCACTATTTCCTGCACGTTACCCAGAGTCACGGTTCTTCTGAGTAAGATGCGATTAATGGCCTTGCAAACTTGCATCAACATGATTCCAACGGTCGACTTTCCCACTCCAAACTGGTTTGCGACCGACCGGTAGCTGTCTGGAGTTGCCAGCTTCCAGATTGCAATAGCCACCTGCTTCTCCACTGGCAGGGCAGCTCTCAATCTCGTGTCCTTGCGCCGCAGGGTGGGGGCGAGCTCCTCACACAGTCCCATGAAAGTGGCTTTTCTCATCCGAAAATTCTGCAGCCACTGCTCGTCATCCCAGACTTCCATGACGATGTGATCCCACCACTCGGTGCTTGTTTCCCGAGCCCAAAAGCGGCATTCCACGGTACTGAGCATGTCCGTGAATGCCACAAGCAATCTCGTGTTGTACGCGTTACGCGGCTCGATAGCATCGTCGGAATCCTCACCCTCACTCTCACTGTCACTTTGGATCTTAAGGAATAGTTCGACAGCCAAATGTGATGTGCTGGCGAGACTCGTCAGCATACGCCTCAGTAGTTCGGGCTCCATTTCCCGCAGACAGATCGCGCTGCACAGAAACGGTTGAAAGATGGCGCCAAAGGTGGACGGAAAAAAAGGGATTTCTGGGATGCGAAGCGATGCATCACGGGGCATTGAGACAGGACCCAGAATGCCCCGCACCCACGCCCCCTTCCCACAACCCACGGCGCCAGAATGGGAAGAGGTGCTCTGTGGGATAGCTGCCCATAATGCACCGCTCCCAATAGCGCTGCAATTGCCACAAATGTGGCCACGACAGTGCGCTGGCAGCTGTCAGTGTGGACAGACTGCAGCGCTTTCCCTACGCAGCTGCACAAAGTCAGGTTTAACTCACAGCGGTGTACATCTGCAAGTGTAGCCAAGGCCTTAGACTCTGTGCTTGCGAGTGGGGAAGTATTGGCACCCAGGAGAGGTGTGTAGTTTTTCCACGTTATTGGGTGGAGGCTTGAGCTGGTTCTGTGTTGTACTGTTGAAAAGGAACTTCTAGATATTGAACCCGGCCCTGGTTGCTGCCGACTCCACCTAGCAGAAGGGTTACACATACTTATAGCTTCCTTTCACAGGAAACAAGCTGACAATGTCACCGCCACATGGGCTTTTCCTTTGACTGGTGGAGAGAGAGGAGCCCATTTCGAGTCTTTGATCTCTGATCATCACACACAATGACCGCTTGCCTTCAAATATGCATGAATTAGCAATTTCCTGCTAAAGTGCTTCATTTGCATTCCATGATTATTTCTTTCTCATTTGACGGGTTATTGAGTTACAGGGGTATATACAATGTAAATGTTTTCTATTACAGTCCAGCAGGATACAGATCAGTGAAAACAATGCATGTAACATCCCACAGTTTTCATGAAGTTTAAACACCAAATAAATTTACAACCACTTTGATCTACACTAATGCACAAGTGAACTGGCCTGGGGCTTTGGCATGAGTTGGAACCTGATCTTCCAGCATCACAGTAGCCAAGCCAAGAACAGGGACTGAGACCACATGTGGATTGTCACAATTTTCTGTGTTTCTTTAAAAAGAGATGGGTTTTTTTTTAAATATCACAAAACCATGTGACTTTTCTGAATTCCTCCTGTGCTCTTTCACTTTCACATTCACCCTGTCACTGCAGTAGAGAGAGGCATATGAAATGCTGATTAAAAATCATTCACAATTAAAGTCTGCAAGATCTGAGGAACATCAAGAAGCTGGGGAAAAACTTTAATGCCCTGAAACAACACTGGAAATATGTAATGAAAAAACAAACAAACAAAAAGACCTTCTGGCTTGACTCTGAGGAAGGAGAAGCTGGGAACTCCCCACAGACTGACTCTGATGAGAAGCTCCTGCCAGTTCAAACAGGTAGGTGAAACACAAACACACCTCCTCTTAGCTAAGGTTACCATATTTTGTGCCTCCAAATGGAGGACACTCCACGGGGCCCCGGCCCCGCCCCAACTCCGCCCCTTCCCCAAA